TCCGCCCCTCCGCCGCGGGCACCGCCTCCGGCCGAGGCCCCGCCCTGCGCCCCCGGGACGCTCAGACCCTAGCCAAGAGAGGACCCGGGTCCTAGGGCCGTTGCGTAGTTCGGGTTGCCATGACGACAGTTCTGCGCAGCTCCTGCGCCCATGACAGGGGGCACTAGGTGCCAGACAACCTGGCATCCACTCCAGCCCCCGCGGTCTGTCCACTTGGCCTCAACACACAGCAAAAAAAAAATCGTCAGGCAGGTCTCATCAGTCCTCTTCACACCCTGAAATTCCTCTGTAGCCCTCCAATCTTAGACCCTGACGGCCACTAAAGTGACTCTGCGCACCTACAACAGGCAGACCGCTGGACCCGCGGAGGTGGCCGGACGGAGGGGCGGGGCTGATTGCCCCCACTAGACGCAGTTATACCTCCTGGCCAGACCTCCCCAGTGGCCCACAAGGACACACATGTCAGGGCCTAGACCTTAGCTCTCCGGTTGTATACCCTGTAGGAGAAATCCGACTGTGAGGCTCTCGGTAGAAGGGCCAGCTGGGAGGACATTAAAGGGGGGCTAACGAGGCTCCGGGCTGGACCTCCCTCCAGGTCCTGTTCTCACGGAGCACCCCATTCCTACCATGCCATGCTGGCAGCAGGGCTCCCCTGTCACTGGAGGAGGACAACAGGGAGGCTCAATGGTCACCCCCACCTTCCCCTGCTCCGGCTGCAGTGTCCCTCCTGCAAGCACTGAGGACAAGGGAGCTGAAGGGACTAGAAGGGGTGCAGCTGCGTTTCCTCAGCGCCTTTCAGCACCCTAAATAAATCATCGGGTACACTGGCGGCCAGTTCTGGAGAGGTGGTGGGTTCTGTTCTGGTGACTTGGCCCTGGGAAGCTAGACTAGCTGGCCATGGTGGGCCACCCTTGGGGGGAGGTTCTAGGACGCCCATCAGTAAAGTAGGCAAGAGCAGGTGATAAGCAGTATCGATGCCAACCAACCCACTCCCCAAAGCTCTCCTTTGCCCACGAGGGGGCCTACACCTAGCAATGAACGGTTCATATCTCCTCAGCCTCAAGGATCAGAGGGCTGGACATCAAGGCCAGGCCAGACCCAGCATGGAGAGAGGAGGTAGCAGTTCAGAGTCCTGGGCTTGAGAGCAAGACCCCCCTGACAGACCTAAGCAAGGCTGAGTGAGAGGGTGGGTACTGGGAGGAGAGGGGGAGGCAGCCCATGTCAGTCCTGTCTGATCTGTTTCTTCCTCCTTCACTCTCCTACTTCCTCTCGGCCATGGTTAACCCAACCCTCACCTAAGACCTTGCAAGCTTGCCTCAGAGCTCTGCACCACATGTCAGCATCCTCAGACCTATGGCCAGATGATCAAATGCGGGAAAAGGGACTCTACAGCTGTGTTCATGGTGGGGACCACAAAAAGAGACGTCACCCTGGACGACATGGGTGGCCCAGAGTCTTTACCAAGGTCCCTAAGAGAGAAAGGCTAGAGCGTCGGCTCAGAGGGCGGTGAAGAGGCCACACCAGTAGCTCTGAAGGAAGAAGAAGAGGCCAGAAGGCCAGGGGCATGGACTTCTCTGGAAGGTGGTTACATCAGCGCATGGCCTCAGAGAGGAGCAGCCTTGATTCTAGCCTCCTGAGGCTTGGGGCCTATACCACACACAAGTAAACTGTGTTGCTTCAAGCGGTTTCTTATAGCCACAGTGAGGAACCAATGCAATTTCTGACCCGAAGGAACTCCACACAAGTAAATCCAGAAAGCTTTGAGGTGTTGGTCCATAAGTAAGAGGCAGAGAAAGTCAGCACTGTGGCCATACCTTTGTCCCAGCTACTCGGGCCTGGAGCAGGATAGCATGAGCTCAAGGCCAGGATCTTATAGCATGACAAAAATTAACTCAAAATGTACATGGGCCCTAATGCAGTTAGGAAACTTTCAGAAGAAAAAAAAAAAAAA